TTGACCCAGTGATCCCACTTCTAGGAATATATCCTAAGAATCCTGAAACACAAATCAGGAAGAATTTATGCACCCCTGTGTTCATAGCAGCAAAATTTACAGTAGATTAGTGGATAAAAAAGCTGTGGTACATACTATGCAGCTGTAAAGAAGAAGGATTTTTTATCTTTTGGGATAGCATGGATGGACTTGGAGAATATAAAGCTAAATGCAATAAGCCAGGCAGAGAAAGACAAATATCAAACGATCTCACCTATATGTGGAATCTAACAAACAAAATAAACTGATGAACAAAACAGAGCCAGTGACATAGAAGGATGGAACAGACTGATGACTCTCAGAGGGAAGGCGGGGGTGGGTGAGTGGGTAGAGAGATTAACCAAAGAATTTTTATGCATATATGCATAACCCATGGACACAGACAATAGTGAGTGAAGACCTGGGGTGGAGGGTGGAGGGGATCAATGAGGAAAAATGGGGACATCTGTAATTTTTTCAACAATAATGCTAAATTAAAAAAATATATATAACTTCTGTAGATTATATAACTTTCTCTGGCTCAGTTTCCCATTAATATGCTGTACCCCATTAATATACATAGAGTAGCGTATTCAGAATTCAGAAAGGAATATCCATAATTTATAATGATATAAAAACAATATACATATATGTGATGTAATAATATTTATATTTAACTAAATCAAAGGGTTTCAAAGGGTGTACAGCAGTCTCCCTCTCTTAATTGGCCTAAACCACCCAGCTCATGTCTCCCTCCTTTAACTATAATTAATAGCTTCTTGTGTATATTTCTAGAAATAATATCCCATACAAACATATATCCCTATATAATCTTCATTATTCTGTGCTTTGCTTTTTTTTCACTCAACACCATATCCTGCAGGTATTCTCAATGAACAGTAACATAAAGAACTTTCCCATTACTTCTTACCACTGCATAGTATAGAATTGTGAATGCATTTTAATACACTAAATCACCTTTTTACTAATGTACATTGTATAGTGTTTTTAAACTAATTTGAGATATAATTTATTTATATCTGCAATGATCCTATTTTCAAATAAGGTCACATTCTGAGATACTGAGGATCAGAACTTTAACACATGAGGGAACATAATTCAACCCATGACACATGCATTGCCAAAAATGAAGAGAAATTGGTATGCTCATACACTGATAATGGGAGTGTGAACTGCTTAACCTTTTAGATTGTCAATTTGTCAATATGTATTATAATTTTAAAAAACGTGTCTACTTTCTGAAATAGCAATCTTGATATTCTCTCTCTATCTTAGGTAGATAATTACACAGGAATAAAATGCTATATGGAAAAATCACATAAAATAATAGAAAATTAGCTAAATGGATAATGACTCACATATATGAAATCATTAAAAATGAAGATATTATTTTTCTGAGTTTAACAATGAAGTGCTACACTTCTCAGTTATAACAACACTTACCACATCATTGTCAAGAATGCTGTGGCCTTGGAAGAAGGCTTTTTAATTTTCTTTTTAAATTTAAAGTAATTAAAACAGGTAATGATAATGTATGTCCACTCTAATTATTAAAATATTGCTATTTATAACTAAGTAACAAGAAATAACAAGTATTGGTGAGGATGTGGGGAAAAGGGAACCCTTCTGCACTGTCAGTGGGAATAAAAATTGGTGCAGCCTCTATGTAAAACAAATTAAAAATAGAATGACCACGTGATGCGGCAATTCCACTTCTGGGCATTTATCCAAAGAAAACAAAAACACAGTAACTTGAAAGGATATATGCACTTCTACATTCACCGAGGCATTATTTACAATAGCAACGTTACGGAAACAACCTAAGTGTCCATGGATAGACGAATGGATAAAGAAGATGTGGCACATATATACAGTGGAATATTATTCAGCCATAAAGAGAAGACAATCTTGCCATTTGCAACAACATGGATGGACCTTGAGGGCATTATACTAAGCAAAATAAATTATACAGAGAAAGACAGATATTGTATAATCTCACTTAAATGGAGAATCTAAAACAAAACACAAACAAAAAAACCAAGCTCACAGATACAGAAAAGAGATTAGTTGTTGCAAGAGGCAGGTGTATATGCCTGAGGTGGGGGTGCCAGCCAGTGAAATGAGTGAAGGGAGTCAAAAGGTACAAACTTCCAGTTATAAAATAAATTAGTCCTGGGGTAATGCTTAGCCTGATAACTATAGTTAATAATGTTGTATTGCTTATTTAAAAGTTTCTAAGAGAGTAGATCTTAAAAGTTCTCATCACAAGGAAAAATAATTTGTAACTATGTATGGTGATGGATGTTAACTAGACTTACTATGGAAATCATTTGGCAATGTATACAAATATCAAATCACCATGTTGTATACCTGACTAATATAATATTATCATGTCATATCTCAGTTAAAATATTACTAACTTGTGTGTTCATTTGATCTGGATCTCATATTTATTGATAAGAAAACATGTTTATAATATAAAATTAAATTTAAAAATAACTTATAAAACAATATCAATAGTATGGTCCCACTTATGTAAAAAAATGCAAAGGGAACATTCTTAAAGATTATACAGCAAAATTTACAATAATCAGTTAATGTACCAAAATCTTCTAAGAATATTTTTTTACATGGTGGAATTAAAGAATATTTTAATTTCCATTGTTTGCTCCTCTGTAGTTCTAATTTTTCTATTATAAACGTGTATTGCCTGTGTGATAAAGACTAAACAAACAGTGGTTTAAGCAAATGAAATGGAAGCTGGGGCTACTTGGATAGCTAAGGATGGGTCTCGAAACTGATACAGGGTGAGAAGTGCGAAGGGGAGACTAGATGTTGAGAAGAGTATGGATACAGCTGCAGTGGCCCTGGGAATTCTCTTCCTCCTGCTAGGTGGACATCCCCGTGGTGGATGGGGGGAGGAGAGCCAATGCCCAGGGTCTCTAGGGGCCCCCTGTGCTATGCACAGTACCTTGTCTCTGGCACACAAGGCCTCTTCCAGGAACCTTGGTTCTGTACTCACAAACTCTAGGTGGGGGGAGAACAGGTGGTGCATTTAGGGTCTGATCTCAGCCCGGAGGTCACAGCAGCAGCTGCCCCAGCAGCACAATGCAGAAGCACTCCAGGGATCAGGAGGCCAGCTTCCCTCACAAAGGCAAGCGGCACAGTAGGACAGAAGGAATGCACTTTGCAGGTGCTGAAGACAACTCCCCATCCTCAGGCCTCCTCTACCCTCCCCCCTCCTCACCACACCTCCACCTCCACTGCCCATTCCCAGGGAGGAGGCCATGGGGGAGGGGGTGCTCTGAGACTGGATGTTGGCAGTGATGGTGCAAGAATACCTGAGTACCAGGATGGGGGCCTTGACCCTGCCCTTCCATGAGGCCTTGGGACATGGGTTGCGAGCACACTAACAAGGCAGGAGCCCAGTTCAGGGGTCAGGACAGGCAAGCTTTACAGCAGGTCTGCAAACAGCCAGCAGTAAGTTTACTGTCATCCTTGCTTCACCATGAGCAAAGGATCCCAGAAAGGTTGGAAAACTGATCCCAGGCCATACTTCCAACACTTCCAGAGGGTGGAGGGTGCAGCTGGAATCTGAGTTGCAGCCATGCAGTAGCCTTGCTGACCCCTTGCTCCATGGCTTGGAGTGTTCCTTGGAGCAAAATGGAGGGGTCAGGTGGCCAAGGTACAACCCTCACTGACACCTGTACGCTTTCTCCAAAGCTAAGCACTTGGCCTCAGCAGCTGATTCTTACCTGCTGGAGGGAGGGGACTCGGACTTGGGCCAGCCAAACACAGTGTCTCTGGCTGTTCAGCCTGGTCCAGCCACTACTGACTCCATGCATCGGACCCCAGAATCCCCTCTGAGGAGGGCAGCTCACACACCTGAGGCCCCAGACTTTCTAGCTCCACTAGCTTCTCCACCAGGTCCTGCTCTCATATACCTCAGCTTTTTGACACCACTGTATTGTCTTTCTCAAGAATAGCCTTTTCCCATAATAAATTCTAAATCTCTAAATCCTGTTGTCCTTTAAATCCATTACAAATATTGATTTTGTAAGGTACCCTCTTCTGGTCCAGGGGTGGAAGGAGAACATGGCATAGACAAGATGACATACTGTAACATCACAAGGAGAGGGAACAGCAGTGTCCAGATAATGAAATAAAAGGGCAAGAGCACCCTACTTCATTTATAATTGTGGATTTAGTGATCTCGCATGGAGATAAGTGTTGAAAGCTCCCATTCCTTCACAGCAAAATATATTGTAAGATACGTGGGCCCCAAGATATACTTCATTTTGCCAAATACCTTAAGGTTAGTTAGGAATGAATATGTCTCCTTCCTCAGGCCCCTGCATCTTGTCAGTTTCTAAATAAATAAGACTTAAGGCTGCAGAACATGTCTCTGTGTTTTATTAATATCCAAGGATTAGCCATTGACCAGACCTGACCAAGATTTGCCAGACAGACTTGCTTCTGAGATGGGTGATCTACTTAAGAAAATAATTCCACAGCCCGTCCCTGGAACTCCTGGATATGTACTTGGGTCTCTTGGAGTTATTAACTTGTCACCTCAGCATTGGCAGAGTTAAGCAAATGTCTTCATGAAAACTTTAGGATAATTTCAGCTCTCCTATCATCATGGCTTCTCTCTGCCTTCTCTTCCACTACAGTCCAGTCCTAATTCCCAGTCTCAGTCCCCAAGAGACAGCAAGGCATGGTGGTGAAAAGCATGGGCTTGAGAACCAATCTGCTTGAGTTCAGATCTTGGTTCTGACATTATATAACTGTGATATAACTGGGGCACATTACTGAATATCTCTCTACCTCAGTTTCCTTATGATTACAATACCTATATTACAAGACTATTTTAAGGATTACATAAATCATTATAAACACTGAGAATAGTGACTGGTATGTGGTACAGATTAAAAAAAATTCTTGTTAAATAAAATAAATACCTGTACTGGAGCGGATTATATCTGTCCCAACAACATGGCCCAGCAGGTCATATTGATTCAGGCGAGAGCCATCCTGTGCTACTTCCACAGATTTGTTCTTCCCAAGAGTCCAAGAATAAACCACTTCAGCTTTTGTATAGGCATCTAAGGCAGAAAAGGGTTAAGAAGGAGAAGTTGAAGGGATAGAAAAATGTTATTCTTGACACTAAACTTGCATGAGATTGAAATATAACTTACATCCCAAGAGTTCTGGGTAAGTGTTCTCTCTTCAACTGAAGTACATGTATCCATCCATCTAATAAACAATCATTGTAGAACTACTATAGTTTAGGCTGGGTACACAGAAATGAACCTAAAATGGTCTCTTCCTTCAATAACTCACAGTCTTTTGCACTGCCAATACATTGTTAAATTTTTCTTCTCTTGGAGTGTAATGTGTAGGGACAAGGGGAGGAATGGATAAAATATTACCTAATGCAGTTGTCACAAATTCAGATGCTTACAGGAGCTAGAAAGGTACCTTAAATGAGTAAATTAAGCTAGTTGTAAGAAAAATTAACTGCCAGAAATGTAACAAATTTTCTTTAATTATAGGGTGACCATATGAGATAAAGTAAAAAGAAATCATACTAGGAATATTTAAAATTTAAAGAAATGAAAATTTTCAAATTGAGATAGTAATAATTAGTAATTGCTATTTTCTTTTGAAACTTATTATCAATCTGATTTAAAAATAAGAAACCTGCCATCTTTTTTCTGCACCAGGGTGTTAATGTTAGGTCTTATATTTAGAATGCCAATATCAAGTACAGAATTTAGTACAAATTAGTTCTAACAGGGATATTGGTAAGGGGAATGGATTGGGAATGAGAGGTGAGGCTATTTAATTTTAGTCAGTATATTAAAGGAATAGACTTGTTTTCTTCCCAGACATGGATTGACTCTTTGCACAGTGGGTTTTATATTTGGGATGAGCACCTTGCCCTAACTCCAGCACCTAGGCTCATAAAAGGTAGTTGAGCACCATACTGCTCACCCATATCATCCAAGTTTTAGGCAGGTGCTATGCCCATGATATGCTCTATTTAAACATTTTACTATAAAGCAAATAATTCCTACTGAATTTACCAATGAACAGATATGAACTCTGTTTCCATAAAAAAAACCTTGCAACTTGGATATACATTTCATAACAGTCCGACATTAACCTTCACACACACTAATTGTGATCTGCTTATATTACACTTCTCAGGACTTTTTCAATATACCCAAGTAAACCATTTCCTGATTTCCTTGTAATGAGTAACATGCCAAAAGTTCTTCATTCACATCAAAATTCTCATTGAAATCATGAAAAATTATACATAACTCTATGGTATTTTTCTTTTGTGTTCTCATAAGCTGCAAAAGAAAATACCACAAGAAATCTAATTTTTCCACAAACTATGCCCTGCTTGGTCTCAGTGATTTCTTCAAAACACTGACAAAAATACTTCTAGTTCAATGTACAATTTCTGCTGTGATTAATAGATATTTTTATAAATCTAGCATTTATAAAATATTGACTCCTAGAAAGGTTTGTTGCTTAATATTTAACTGCATTTCCCAGTAGCAACACTTAGTGTGTGCATTCAAACAAAAAAGCCTATTGAACTTTCAGGTGCAATAAACAAATAAGCAATAAACATAAAAAATAAACAAATTGGAACTTTTGTGTGACATTTCCCAAATTTCCATCATGGCAAATAATTTCAAAAGTTATAAACACTGTATATATCAAGTAAAACACATTTGCAAACCACCAGTGTGCAACCTCTGACCTAGAGACTTTCTCCTATAGATAGCTGTGGTCTTTTGTGATTCAGCCTTGGAAACAAAGTATCCACTGCTGCCTATGGAGTGTCTAGAGCTCCCAATTGGAATTGTAGATCATTTTTTAAAAAATTTATCTTGCCCGGCCGGGCATGGCTCAGCGGTTGAGCATCGACCTAGGATCCAGGTGATCAGGGTTCAATTCCAGGTCAGGGCACATGCCCAAGTTGCAGGCTGGATCCCCACTTGGGGGCATGCAGGAGGCAGCTGATCAATGACTCTCTCATTATTGATGTTTCTATCTCTCTCTCCCTCTCCTTTCCTCTCTCTGAAATAAATAAAGATATGTTTTTAAAAAATAAAAAATAAAAATTTATCTTTATTGTTGAAAGTATTACAGATATCCCCCCCTTTTCTCCCCATTGATTCCCTCCAAGCCAAATCCACCCCCACTCCCAGGCCTTCCCCACACTATTGTCTGTGTCCATGGGTTATGCATATATGCATATAAATTCTTTGGTTAATCTCTCCCCTCACAC